GAGTCTCGCTCTGTCGCCTAGGCTGGGGTGCAGTGGCGCCATCTCGGCTCACTACAAGCTCCGCCTCCCGGGTTCATGCCATTCTCCTGCCTCAGCCTGCCAAGTAGCTGGGACTACAGGCGCCTGCCACCACGCCCGGCTAATTTTTTGTAGTTTTAGTAGAGACGGGGTTTCACCGTGTTAGCCAGGATGGTCTCGATCTCCTGACCTCATGATCCGCCTGCCTCGGCCTCCCAAAGTGCTGGGATTACAGGCGTGAGCCACCGCGCCCGGCCTCCTGGACTATTTTAAGGCATCGTATACTGTGAAAATCCTCTGGGAAACACTGGGCAAATGTCACAGGCCAAGGCCAAGGCAGGAAAGGACTTGTGATTTCCCTACTGTCATCAGAATGAGGGCCTCAGAGGGTGCTTGTGATGTACCAGCAGGACCCCATCTCGGTCACAGCATTAGACTGCCACAGGGAAGGGTTAAGCTACTAATATGCAGTTTGAAATCCAGAGCAAGAGTTTTGTTTTCTAAAGTGTTCCTAGTTAATGATGCATTAACTATCTGTTCAGAAAAAGTGTTTCAAAGGAGCAAAGTTGTGCTTCTGTGTGTCAGGGAGGAGAAGTCTGAAGACCGTATATTTGTGTCTGACAGCTTGTTTTTGTTTTGTTATGGAAATTTTCAACAAAACACACATGGAGCGACTAGAACAATGAAGCCCATGTACCTGTGACCTACCTACCATGAGTATCAGCATTTCACCAGTTGCGTTCCATCTATCTTCCCCTCCCCTGCACACACGCTTTTCTTTGGGAATGGGTTGGAATATTTTAAGGCAAATGTGAGACATCACATTCTTTCATTTGTAAATATTTCAGCAAGCATTTCTTTTTCTTTTTCTTTTGAGATGGAGTTTCACTCTTGCTGCCCAGGCTGGAGTGCAATGGCGTGATCTTGGCTCACCACAACCTCCGCCTCCCGGGTTCAAATGATTCTCCTGCCTCAGCCTCCCGAGTAGCTGGGATTACAGGCATGCGCCACCACGCCCGGCTAATTTTTGTATTTTTAGTAGACATGGGGTTTCACCAGGTTGGCCAGGCTGGTCTCGAACTCCTGACCTCAGGTGATCCACCCACCTCGGTCTCGGAAAGTGATGGGATTACAGGTGTGAGCCACTGCGCTCAGCTTCAGCAAGCATTTCTAACAGATAAGGACTTATAAATAATAACTATAATTTCTAAGTAATCCTCAACAAATTAGTAGGAGGAAACTGGCATCATATTGAAATATTTGATGGGCAGGTTACCCTGTGACAAATTAGAAACACTAATTGCCAAATACCAATTCTCAGACGGTTTCAAAAAATCTAAAATTACTGTCAACACTGAGGGGGGCGGTCCACAATTGTAAAGAACCAAAACTGTGGACAGCTACATGCCTGCTATGAGCACCCCAGGCCACTGGCCTCAGGCTCTAGCCACTCAGGGCCTCTTGCTGGTCTTGAGAGCCACAGCAGGAGCCCAGCATGTGGCTCAGGGTGATTCAAAGGGTCTTCAAGTTGATGGAGGCTGCAAGTGTAAAGGCCACCTGCACCCCGGAGCTTGGGTACCCTTCCCTCAGAGTCAGTTACTCAGAACAGGCACAGCCTCAAATTCTGAGGGAAGAGCTTGAAACACACACACACAAGCACATATGCATACACATTATATATACAAACTCTTCAAAATTCAATTCTACCAGGAGTGTGGGTAGCTCTCCTCTATAACCTCAACAACTTGAGAGGCTGAGGCAGGAAGACTGCCTCAGGCCAGGAGTTCAACACCGGCCTGGGCAACATAGCAAGACCCTATCTCTAAAAAAGTTAAAAACAGTACTAGACAGGCATAGCAGCACAGGCCTCTGAGCGACTTGGGAGGCCGAGGCAGGAAAATCACTTGAGTCCAGGAGGTCAAGGCTGCAGTAAGCTATTGTGCCACTGCATTCCAGAGACCCTGTCTCTAAAAAATAATAATTTTTAAAATAAAAAGTCAATTCCTATGATTTTGTGAGCATATGTAGTAAAACATAGATTAGATGGTACATTTTAAAAATATCCTTAACTAGGCTGGGTGTGGTGGCCTGTAATCCCAGCACTTTGGGAGGCCAAGGTGGGCAGATCACCGGAAGTCAGGAGTTCAAGATCAGCCTGGCCAACATGGCGAAACCCCGTCTCTATTAAAAATACAAAAAATAGCCTGGTGTGGTGGCGTGCGTCTGTAATCCCAGCTACTTGGGAGGCTGAGGCAGGAGAATCGCTTGAACCTGGGAGGTGGGGAGGTGGTTACGATGAGCCAAGATCAAGCCACTGCACTCCAGCCTGAGTGACAAGAGTGCAACTCCATCTCCAAAAAGAAAACAAAACACCTTAACTAAAAATATCTTAAGTATAGCTATTTTAGACAAAGTCTAGCTGGGCGCGGTGGCTCACGCCTGTAATCCCAGCACTTTGGGAGGCCGAGGCGGGTAGATCACCTGAGGTCAGGAGTTCGAGACCAGCCTGGCCACCCTGGTGAAACTCTGTCTCTACTAAGAATACAAAAATTAGCTGGGTGTGGTGGCGGGCGCCTGTAACCCCAGCTACTCGGGAAGCTGAGGCAGCAGAATCACTTGAACCCAGGAGGCGGAGGCTGCAGTGAGCTGAGATCACGCCACTGCACTTCAGCCTGGGCGACAGAGTGAGATTCCATCTCAAACAAAAAAAAAGAAAGAAAGAAAGAAAAAGATAAAGTCGAAAGATGAAATTTGTAATGAGATTTTTTTTTTTTTTTTTGCCATGAAACATACTTTTCTTATGGGAGGGTTGGGGAGGGCTCTAGAAATTTACCACTAATATGTTAATAATTATGGAGGGAAGAGTTTCATTACAAAGAAGAAAAGATTCCATATAACTGTTATTCTGGTCTGGAAGAACACTTCCAGAGTGGTGTTTTCACAAACAGAAAACCTGTGCTGCTGTGTGAACCAAAAGGCTAGCAAATACTTGTTAAAACCACTATGTGGCTGGGTAAGCATAGCAAAACAAACGTGTTCATCTGTGCTCCCTCTGAAGATGTCAGGAAAGTAACAGAAAAGGAATTACATATGTAAAAACACAAGGACAAAGAGAATGAGAGAGGAGAGGACAGTGGAAGCTATCAAGGGCAGTCAAGTGGAAAGCTGTCAAGTGGAAATGTCAAGGGCAGATAGTAATCTTTTTTTTTTCTTTTTTGAGACAGTCTCACTCTGTCGCCCAGGTTGGAGTGCAATGGCACGATTTCGGCTCGCTGCAACCTCCGCCCCAGGTTCAAGCAATTCTCCTGCCTCAGCCTCCCGAGTAGCTGAGATTACAGGCATGTGCCACCACACCTGGCTAATTTTTTGTATTTCTTTTTTTAAGTAGAGACAGGGTTTCACGATGTTGCCCAGGCTGGTCTCAAACTCCTGAGCTCAGACAATCTGCCTGCCTTGGCCTCCCAAAGTGCTGGAATTACAGGCATGAGCAATCGTGCCCGGCCTAGGCAAACAGCAGTCTACTTTGTTGACCAGACAAAACTGTACTGAGTTGCCTGCAGGAAGGGTGGAAGCCCAGAGAGCCCCTGGGCCTCCCATCTTGCCCTGCCCTGCTCTGCCCATGTCGGGAGGGGAGCCAAGCTGCTCTACACTCAGGGACCGGTGGCGCAGTTGAGACTGGGGTTGTGACACCAAGGTCAAGCCACAGGGGTCAAGGGACAGTCTGCCTATCAACTGGCTCTTCCCATTGTCCTGCCTGCAGCCAGGCAGGAGGCCAAGGAGTCTTCTGGGGGCAAGCTACCTTCCCACAGCTACTGAGCCTCTCCAAGCCAAAAGGCTTGTCCCCACATTCAGTGGCCATGTACCCTTTCAGTATGGCACTGCTAATGCGAAGGGACAGGTAAGGAGAGCCTGCCACATAAAAGACAGAGCCCCAAACAAACAGAAGAGTCCCGAGGAAACAGCATAGAAAAAGGAGTCTTTCTTTTATTTGAGACAGGGTCTCACTCTGTTGCCCAGGCTGGAATGCCAGTGGCGTGATCATGGCTCACTGCAGCGCTGACCTCCCAGGCTCAGGTGATCCTCCTGCCTCAGCTTCCTGAGTAGCTGGGACTAAAGGTGCGTACCACTACACCCGGCTAATTCTTGATTTCTTTGTAAAAATGGTGGTCTTGCTATGTTGCCCAGGCTGGTCTTGAACTCGGCCTCACGTGATCCTCCCGCCTCAGCCTCCCAAAGTGTTGAGATTACAGGCGTTGGCCACCGCACCCAGCTGAAAAAGGAGTCTTTTGAGAGAACCGTAACTCACGTTCTTGGGGAACAGTAAGATACTACACCCATATGACAAGGTTAAGAGAAAGGGAACACTGACAGAATAAGAAGGAACGCTGACTCCAAACATGTGACAGCTTCAATACAAGGGACTGAACTAGAGGAGGCACGGAAGAGCTTGAGGTAGAACACTCAAGGGAGGCAGCAGCAGGGAAGGTGGCCCCTGCTGGCCGCACCACCAGGGCAGGCTTCCAGAATGCATCATGCATGCGCTGGAGCCTACGGGACAAGCTGGGATTTGTGGAGCCCAGAGGAGCCGTCGGAAGAAAAGCCTTAGGAAAGAGAGCAGAAACGCTGCCGCTGGAGGGCAGACCCTGAATGGAAAACGCAATCAGCTTGGAAAAAGGATCCTGATGAGCCTCAGAGACCAGAATGTGATTCAGGGTGATGCAGCATGTTTGTGGTTTCTGTAGGGAAATGTGTTCTACCTTGTAACTGGGATAGAAAGGCACATTTCATCTCCACCCTGTATTTCCTGCCAAGTCAGCCCTTGGTTTTGATTCCAGGGTGCCCTGACCAGGGGAACTGCCAAAGGGCTGCAGGGCCTGCTTTTATGAACAGATAGAGACCCTTCTGGCCCCTTCTATCGTTATGTGCTGATACTGAGCACATAACCGAGGCTGTGAGGAAACGCTGGGGAACACCCTGCTTACAGTTTAGGAACGAGGGCAAATCTCATCTTGCTTAGCAGCTCATCCTCCTGGAGCATGACCAGGGCCACAGGGTACATCTGATCAAAGTCGAAATTAAATTGCACGCCGGCCGGAGGGTCACGAAGGAAATTCCTCTTGTCCTTTGATAAAAAAAGAAAAAAACACAGGGTATTCCACAAAATGCGATTAATATGTAACAATGTTTTTTTGTTTTTGTTTTTTTGAGACAGAGTCTTGTTTTGTCGCCCAGGCTGGAGTGCAGTGGCACAGTCTCGGCTCTCTGCAACCTCTACTTCCTGGGTTCAAGCAATTCTCCTGCCTCAGCCTCCCAAGTAGCTGGGATTACAGGCATGTGCTAGCATGCCTGGCTAATTTTTGTATTTTTAGTAGAGATGGGGTTTCGCCATGTTGACCAGGCTGGTCTCAAACTCCTGACCTCAAGTGATCCACCCACCTTGGCCTCCCAAAGTGCTGGGATTACAGGTGTGAGCCACTGCACCCAGCCTACTACATAACAATTTATCATAGACTGGAGAAGTATTATATTCTTTCTTTATTTTGAAACAGTCTTGCTCTGTTGACCAGCAGGAGTGCAGTGAGACCGTCAAAAAAAAAAAAAAATAGAAGCGGGCAGGGCGTAGTTGTCGCTCATGCCTATAATCCAGCACATTGGGAAGTTGGGCAAGAGGATCGCTTGAGGCCACGAGTTTGAGACCAACCTGGGAAACATAGTGAGAACCCATCCCTACAAATTTTTTTTTTTTTTTGAGACAGAATCTTGCTCTGTTGCCCAGGCTGGAGTGCAGTGGCATGATCTCGGCTCACTGCAAGCTCCCCTTCCCGGGTTCACACCATTTTCCTGCCTCAGCCTCCCAAGTAGCTGGGACTACAGGCGCCTGCCACCACGCCCGGCTAATTTTTTGTAGTTTTAGTAGAGATGGCGTTTCACCATGTTAGCCAGGATGGTCTTGATCTCCTGACCTCGTGATCCACCCGCCTCGGCCTCCCAAAGTGCTGGGATTACAGGCGTGAGCCACCGTGCCCGGCCATCACAAAATTTTTTAAAAATTAGCTGGGCATGGTGGCTTACGCCTATCGTCCCAGCTACTTGGAAGGCTGAGGCCGGAGAATCACTTGAGCCCAGTTCAAGGCTGTAGTGAGCCATAATTATGCCACTGTACTCTATCCTGGATGACCAATTGAGAATATGTCTCTTAAAACAAAACAAAACAAAACAAAACAAAAAAAATTAAATTAAAAATTTTGGCAGGGCATTGGTGGCTCACACCTGTAATCCCAGCACTTTGGGAGGCCAAGGCAGACGGACTGCTTCAGGTCAGGAGCTCGAGACCAGCCCGGCCAACATGGTGAAACCCTGTCTCTACTAAAAACACAAAAATTAGGCTGAGTGTGGTAGCTCATGCCTATAATCCCAGCACTTTGGGAAGCTGAGGCGGGGGTGGATCATGAGATCAGGAGTTCGAGACCAGCCTGGCCAACAGGGTGAAACCCTGTCTCTACTCAAAATACAAAAATTAGGAGGGCATGGTGGCGGGCACCTGTAACACCAGCTACTTGGGAGGCTGAGGCAAGAGAATCGCTTGAACCTGGGAGGAGGAGGTTGGTTGCAGTGAGCCGAGATCACGCCACTGCACTCCAGCCTGGGTGACAGAGCGAGACTCCGTTTCAAAAAAAAAAAAAAACCCACACAAAAATTAGAATTAGCTGGGCATGGTGCTGCATGCCTGTAGTCCCAGCTATTCAGGAGGCTGAGGAAGGAAAATCATTTGAACCCGGGGGGTGGAGGTTGCAGTGAGCCAAGACTGCACCACTACACTCCAGCCTGGGTGACAGCAAGACTCCACCTCAAAAAAAAAAAAAAAGTATGTGTACATTTTGTTAATGTATACATCATGTGTTAATGTGTACATTCCTAACATCTCAAAATATTTTAAAAACTATAAAGAAAAATAAATTCTACTAAAGTCATATCAACAGAGATACATCACAACAGGAAGAAAGTATGTTCTATCTGGGGTACCACAAGATACTTACAGCTGATAAGGCCAAAATTTGTTGTTGAATTGTTTCTTCATCGTTAGTGTCAACCCATGGGGGCACAGCTGCTTCTATACAGTTTTTAATGGCAAAGAAAAGAGAAAAAAATAGGTCATGGTGGTTACACTGCAGTCTATGGTTTCAAAGCATGAAAGTTTCTGCATGACCACTAAAAATAGCAATTTACCAATAAGTTCCAAATATGAACATTAACCCTAATAACCAGACTTATTATTATGAGTTGTATGCACATATGCATTTGATTTAAAAAATTCTACTTGAGGCTGGGCGTGGTGGCTTACACCTGTAATCCTAGCACTTTGGGAGGCCAAGGTGGGTGGATTGCTTGAGCCCAAGAGTTGGAGACCAGCTTGGGCAACATGACGAAACCTTGTCTCGACAAAAAAATACAAAAGTTAGCCAGATGTCGTGGTGCGTGCCTGTAGTCCTGGCTACTTGGGAGGCTGAGGTGGAAGGATCACCTGAATCCAGGAGTCGAGGCTGTAGTGAGCTGTGATTGCGCCATTGCGTTTCAGCCTGGGTGACAGAGTTGCGACCCTGTCTCAGAAAAAAACCAAAAACCAAAAATCTCTACTTAAATTATACAGTGGAGACACTGGACAACACCTTAATCAGGTGATCAAAATCAACATCACCAATGAGGGAGAGATGAATATCAAGGCCCTCCAGATGTGACATCTTGAGGAGGACATCATCACCTATGTAGTATTCTGACTAAAAATGGACAATCTGAGTCTAGTTATGAGGAAATATCAGATAAAGCCTGAATGAGAAAGAATCTATTAAAAAAAAGGAAGAGTAGTATTCTTCAAAAACATTAATATCATAAAAGAAAGGTTGTTGGAATGTTCCTGATTAAAGAAGGCTAAGAGACATGACAAAGAATACAATACCTTATCCTCAACTGGATCCTATACTGAGGGGGACAAAAGTCATAAAGGACATTATTGGGTCAACTAACAAAATTAACTGATGAACAGTAAAGTATTGCATCAATGTGAAATTTCCTAATGCTGTTAACTATACTATGGTTATGAAAGAGAATATCCCTAATTCTTATGAAATGTGTACTGAACATTTATGTATACACAAGGAAAAAAGGGTACACATGACAGCAAGAGCTGGAGAGAGGGCGTGAATAAGACAAACAGAATAAAACTAGAGCAATTTAGGTACTGGTATATGGGTGTTGTCTGCACTATTTTTATTCTTGCGACTCTTCTGTAAATTAAAATTTTTTCCAAATAGAAAAATTTTTAGAAAGTTACTTAAAAAAAATGAAAGAAAAATGGGTAAGTATATTTCTGGAGTAAAAAAAAAAGTCACTGTACTTGATTCATGATAAAAGGTGATGTTGTAAGACAGGTGATTAGGAATAAGAGGGTTTTCAGGAGCTTAAAAAAAAAAAAAAGAAAGAAATGGACAAGTTGGAGGCAGTAAACAATAGGGCTGGAATCAAAACCTCGATGAGCCATTAGAAGCCAAATGCTGGGAATGCCAAGATCTAGCCCACCTCTTCTGCGGCTCACAGATAGAGGTGATCAGAATCCAGCACTCTAAGTGCCGTGCCAGGTGACAAATGACAATCCTCTGGAGAGGTGAGGCCTACAAGATTTTCTGGTGACCCGGGAGCCCAATCTTGGACTAGGAAGAGGAGGTCAGTGGTGGATGGCGGTGGGGGTGTTTATAGTGGAAACGAAAACAACGGCAAGCTCGTCTGAGGATCTCTCCCACGTGGGCAGCGTGGAGCAGCTAGAGGGCAGAGTGAAGGCTGCAGATCTGCGAGATCGGCACAGAAGACACACAGGCAGGGGGCCCTTAATAGCCTCATTCAGCAGCCCACAGCGGCAAGATTACGAAGGGAAGCAGAAGTCACAAAAATGTGGACTAATTCATGAGCCACTCAATCACTCCTGCTGCCTTAACACTAGATTCTAGCCCTATTGGTCTTGCAACACAAAGTGAAAAGGCAAATCTTGCAAAACGCATGGTGCTTCATGAAGTCAAAGTAAAGTGACATGGGATAGCTGCCTGCATCACCACAAAGCAAATAAGGAGGACCTGGCAGTTAGGGCCCCTGTGCCTGAAGGAAACACAAGGCTGGTGACCCAGCAAGTACTTTAAAAGAGAATGATTTGATCCTAGCTACTCGGGAGGCTGAGGCAGGAGAACTGCTTGAACCCGGGGGGCAGAGGTTGCAGTGAGCTGAGAAGGTGCCACTGCATTCCAGCCTGGGGAACAGAGAGACTCCATTTCAAAAAAAAAAAAAAAAAGAGAGAATGAGTTGAAAACCAAAGGGGCAATTGAGGCAGGCCCTTGGAGAGCAAATGCCTTGCTGTCCTGGAATATTTTGGCAGAAAGAGTCCCTTTACTATTATGCTCTGAGTCAGAGGGAAGACATATCATATCACGAGCCCACTGAGAGAAAAGTTACATGCATGTGTGGATGGACACAGGGACAGATGGGCAGATGAGCACACGCTTCATTCTTTGGCTTGTCCCAAGTCAGCAAATGGTGGCAATTATAATCCAAATTCTATTAATGATAAGATAATCTAAACATATTTGCACACTTTAAAGAAAAAATTAGGGTAAAGCCCCCAAAACATTTTTTCTCGCACACTTGAGTCTCCATTCCAAGTCTCTTTACCTTGGGTAGTCTCTCCTGGTGTTATTTATGCTCAGATAATGAGGCCCTCCTAAGATACTTGTATGAGGAGATGCTCCCTACCCCGAGTTCCTGAAATTACTCTTTTTAGAGTGACCAAAACCTCTTGGTTCCCCAACCCCAACGACGCTTCTTAGTTCCCTTCTCTCTAGGCCAGTTTCCTTATCTGGAAAATGGAGGTAACAGTAAGTACTTCATAGAGTTACTGTGATTATGAACTGAAGAAATGCATGAAACACATTTCCAAGGTGCCCTTCTCACGGTCATTGTAAGTGGACCTCTTGGCCCCGCCTCCCATGACTGACTGCTCTCCTGGAAACTCTCCCCTCTCTGGGCTTCTGCTACTTCTCTCTCCTAGTTGTCCACTCTCTTGGGTAAATGGGCACTGTTTTTATTTTCTTTTTTGAGATGGAGTCTTGCTCTGTTGCCCAGGCTGGAGTGCAGTGGTATGATCTTGGCTCACTGAAACCTCTGCCTCCCGGGTTCAAGTGATTCTCCTGCCGCAGCCTCCCAAGGAGCTGGGATTACAGGCGCATGCCACTAGGCCCCGTTAATTTTTGTTTTTGGTTTTGAAGGCAAATTTCAGTTTCATCACTTACCAGCTGAGCGACCTTCCCGCAAATTACTTACCCTTGCTGACTGCATCTTTATTATTTATTTATTGAGACAGAGTCTCGCTCTATCACCCAGGCTGGAGTGTAGTGGCACAATCTTGGCTCACTGCAACCTCCGCCTCCCAGGTTCAAGCAATTCTTGTGCCTCAGCCACCCAGACCCAGACAGCTGGGATTACGGGTGTGTGCCACCACGCCTGGCTAATTTTTGTATTTTTAGTAGAGATGTGGTTTCGCCACGTTGGCCAGGCTGCTCTCGAACTCCTGGCCTCAAGTGATCTGCCCACCTCAGCCTCCCAAAGTGCTGGAATTACAGGCATGAAGCTACCAGGCCTGGCCCTGACTGCATCTTGAAATGAGATGTTATACATAAAATGCCTGCTGCTCAGCAGGCACTCAGTGACTGTCAATTCCTTCCCCTCCTCCCCTCCCTAAACACTGTGGAGCTTCTGCTCATCTCCCTTCATGCTTGACACACTTTCCACAGAGGAGCTCATCTACTCTCATGGTTTTTATGTGACTTGATAATAATCTGAATCATTAGATTGAATTCTCCTTCATGCTTCAAACAGGAATAAACTGCTGCAGGAGCCTGCTTATTTAATTCAGAGCCACACTGAGCAAAAGAACTTTCTGCAATGACAAAAATGTTCTATATCTGCATTGTCTAGTGCGGAAGTCATTAGCCATATGTAGTTATTGAGGACCTGAAACATGGCTGATGCAACAAAAGAAGGAAATTTTCCCCAGATAAAGCACTTGCATTCCCTTTCCTGTATTTCTACATGTTCCTATCTCTGGGATGTATAACTCACTTTAAAACTGAAGTTGACTGCAAACCTTCCACCCCCACACCCTCACAGTTCCTATCTCAGAGGCATCAGCTCCTATAGCAAGTCCCCAAGCCAGGATCACTTTTGTTGCTTCCAAATAATCACTAAGTGATGCTAACTTGTATACCTCACTTGTCTAAAAGAGTTGCCTCATGCTTTTGAGTTTACCTAGGTGCAAGAATGCCTGATGGAAATTCACCATGGGACTAACTGTGGCACAACTCGAACTGAATTGTTTTCTACTACTTTTTTTTTGAGACAGGGTCTCACTCTGTAGCCCAGGCTGGAGTACAGTGGCATGATTATAGCTCACTGCAGCCTCAAACTCCCAAGCTCAAACGATCCTCCTGCCTCAACCTCCCAAGTAGCTGGGACTACAGGTGTGCACCACCACATCCATCCAGCTAATTTCTTATTTTTTGTAGAGATAGGGTCTCACTATGTTGCCCAGGCTGGTCGCGAACTTCAGGCTCAAGTGATCCTCCCGCCTTGGCCTGCCAAAGTGTTGGGATTACAGTTATACTACTTTTGCGAACTCAAAAGACATGATGCTGGTTTTGTGTTTGGGTGCTACCAAATGGTAAGAGTAGGCATACTGAGGCCTTATAACTTCAAACATATAAAGAGGCAACTCTCAGCAGTAATGTATTGAGTACGTTCTCCAAACACCCGTGAATCTTTACGGCCCTCTGTCACTGCAGGTGCAGTCACTCGCCTCCCTGGGAAGCTCTTCCATTTTTTCTCCTGAAGAGAGCGGGAAGGGAGCCACCACTTGCTAAATGCCTGTCATGTGCATACCGAGCACTGTGTTGGGCATGTGGTAGAAAGTCAGAATGAGGCCAGGCACGGTGGCTCATGCCTATAATCCCAGTACTTTGGAAGGCTGAGGCAGGCGGATCACGAGGTCAGGAATTTGAGACCAGCCTGGCCAACATGGCAAAACCCTGTTTCTACTAAAAATACAAAAAAAATAGCTGGGCGTGGTGGCAGGCGCCTGTAATCCCAGCTACTCGGGAGGCTGAGGCAGGAGAATTGCTTGAACCCGGGAGACAGAGGTTGCAGTGAGCCGAGATCAAGCCATTGCACTCCAGCCTGGGTGACAGAGCAAGACTCTGTCTCAATGGGGGGAAAAAAAAGAGAAAATCAGGCCGGGCGCGGTGGCTCACGCCTGTAATCCCAGCACTTTGGGAGGCCGAGGCAGGCGGATCATGAGGTCAGGAGATCAAGACCGTCCTGGCTAACACGGTGAAACCCCATCTCTACTAAAAATACAAAAAATTAGCCGGGTGTGGTGGCGGGCACCTGTAGTCCCAGCTACTCGGGAGGTTGAGGCAGGAGAATGGCGTGAAGCTGGGAGGCGGAGCTTGCAGTGAGCCGAGATCGCTCCACTGCACTCCAGCCTGGGTGACAGAGCGAGACTCCGTCTCAAAAAAAAAAAAAAAAAAATCAGAACTGAAAGCTTACTTGCCCCTTTCACAGCCAGCTCCCCAGTGGGGCTGGCACTGGCAGCCCCCACCCAGAAACAATCTAGTCCCTTCCTTTAAATCATGGAAGTTTATGGGTTTGTCTCCTTCACTAGTCTTTGTGCTCCCCAAAGGATGGGGCCGTTGCATATGCATTTTTGTGTTCTCAGAGCCTCAGTGTGGTATCTAGCACATAACAGGTGCTCAATAAAACTTGGCAGGTTAATTAAGACAAACCTATACCATACCTGACTTCTTTGTATGTTGCTCTTCAACAAATTTTTTCTGTTCCTTCTGAAAATCTCCTATAATTGTCTGTTAAAAAAATACACAGTCAAATTAAATAGCAATATATCTAAGGTTGAATTGATGACTTCCTTAGTTCAAATATTTACCAACATAAACGAAATGCTATAGGCCCATTGCAAAAAACAAACTCACTCCTTAGAGTCTTAAAAGGGTTGTTCCTAATAGGTTAGGACCTTAGTTGCATGATGCAAAGGCATAAATATATCCTCAAACAGTTATAAAGTTAAACTTACAACATGAAAAGTTGGCCAGGCGTGGTGGCTCATGCCTGTAATCCCAGCACTTTGGGAGGGCGAGGCAGATGGATCACTTGAGGCCAGGAGTTCGAGACCAGTTTTGGCCAACACGGCGAAACCTCATCTCTACTAAAAATACAAAAATTAGCTGGGTGTGGTAGCGCATGCCTGTAATCCCAGCTACTTGGGAGGCTGAGGCAGGAGAGCTGCATGAACCCAGGAGGCAGAAGTTGCAGTGAGATGAGATCACACCACTGCACTCCAGCCTGGGTGACAGAGCGAGACTCCATCTCAAAACAAACAAACAAACAAACAAAAAACATGAAAAGTTTAGTATAACCCCCAAGTATCAATGTATTGATTGTAATATATTAAAATAAAAACAGCGCCGGGCGCGGTGGCTCAAGCCTGTAATCCCAGCACTTTGGGAGGCCGAGGCGGGCGGATCACAAGGTCAGGAGATCGAGACCACGGTGAAACCCCGTCTCTACTAAAACATACAAAAAATTAGCCAGGTGCTGTGGCGGGCACCTGTAATCCCAGCTAGTCTGGACGCTGGGGCAGGAGAATGGCGTGCACCCGGGAGACAGAGCTTGCAGTGAGCCGAGATCGCGCCACTGCACTCCAGCCTGGGGGACAGAGCGAGACTCCGTCTCAAAAAAAAAATAAAATAAAATAAAATAAAATAAAATAAAATAAAAACAGCTATTTAAACCAAGTACTGTAATTTGAATGATACTTGTTACACAAAGAGAGGAAAAAACCAAAAATCTCAACAATTAACATTTTTATCAGAATATGATATTCTACTTAGGTTAAAAAATGTTCATAAGAAGAAGAAACAATCAAGAGGAAACAATGAATTTCATACATTTCTACTTCCAAAAGATAATTGAATGTACCTTGTCAATGATGCCATCTATTTTTCCTTCTTCTACGGATTTCTTTATTGTTTGTGCTGTTTCAGCAACTGATTCAGTTATCTTTTTTGTGGCAGCAGATGCAAAGTTAAATAAATAGTCTGTAAAGAATAAAAAGAATCTGTGGTTATTATGTTTGAGATTTTTCCCTTAAAGAGATCTTAGGAGAATCTAAAGCATTAGGGCATGTTCCTTTTTCATAAGGACTTGAAACAAGGAATGAGAAGCACTGACAGTGTTGAAAAGCACCACTTTCTTGGAGGACTGGTCAACCATATGGGGCCTTTCATTCATCTCTTTTTGTTTGTCTTTTTTTTGAGACAGTCTCGCCCTGTCACCCAGGCTAGAGTGCAGTGGCGTGATCTCAGCTCACTGCAACCTCTGCCTCCCAGGTTCAAGCGATTCTCCTGCCTCACTCTCTTGAGTACCTGGGACTATAGGCACCTGCTACCACGCCCGGCTAATTTTTTTGGTATTTTTAGTAGAGACAGGGTTTCCTCATGTTGGTCAGGCTAGTCTCGAACTCCTGGCCTCGAATGATCTGCCTGCCTCAGCCTCCCAAAGTGCTGGGATTACAGGCATGAGCCACCGCGCCCCCGGCCTCATTCATCTCTTTCAAAGACCCTTAGCATACTCTTCCTAGTAGCTGCTTCAAACTTATCTTGCTCTTCTCAAGTCTCTGGTTCTAATTTATCTCAGTAAATAATCTACCCTCCTACTTTGCCAGTAAGGACAAGGCTCCTTTATACTTTCCTTCCTTTCTAGATCTCACGTATGCCATCTTTATTTTCTCCTCCTTCCCTCCTGTTCAAAGAAAAAATGCCCCTCCTTTCTCAAATTAACATGTCCCAAGATAAATCTGGGGGAATTTTAAATAATAAATAGAAATCTTGCTAAGCCCGGCCGGGCGCGGTGGCTCAAGCCTGTAATCCCAGCACTTTGGGAGGCCGAGACGGGCGGATCACGAGGTCAGGAGATCGAGACCATCTTGGCTAACACGGTGAAACCCCGTCTCTACTAAAAAATACAAAAAACTAGCCGGGCGAGGTGGTGGGTGCCTGTAGTCCCAGCTACTCGGGAGGCTGAGGCAGGAGAATGGCGTAAACCCGGGAGGCGGAGCTTGCAGTGAGCTGAGATCTGGCCACTGCAACCTCCACCTCCCAGGTTTAAGTGGAAGTGGGTAGCTGGGATTACAGGCGCCCGCCACCACACAAGGCTAATTTTTGTATTTTTAGTAGAGATGGGGTTTCACCATGTTGGCCAGGCTGGTCTCAAACTCCTGACCTCAGGTGATCCGCCTGCCTTGGCCCCCCAAAGTGCTTGGATTACAGGTGTGAGCCACCGAGCCTGGACTAGAAATCATTCTTACTAATAATGAGCAAATATGTAGAACAAGATTAAAAGTGGAACCCAAAAAACTTCCAGTTTTTACAAAACAAAACCACAGAATTAGCTTTCTGGAAGACCTGAAAAGATATAAGTGTCAAGGTTTTATTGCACTATCAGGGTTCATTTGTAGACATATATCATTTCAAAGTCCACATCCTACAGAATCCAGGCTGCCGAAAGAGACTTGAGGCAGGTCTTGAAGCTAGACCTGCTGAGGGATACCCCCAGGCAACTGACGTCCTCCTCTCATGAGAAACAGCTGGCACATTAGGGCAGTCTTGCCTCTCTTACTTACACCTGTTGAAGGGGCAGGCAGGTGGAGAAGGTCCCATACGAATGGCGAAGGGAGCTCTGCCCAGCAGATTCCATCCTCATTCTGTGGGTGGTATTACTTTCAGGAAACCAGCAGACTGTATAAGTGTGCCTGGGAGCCAGTAATATTATCACTCCATCTGAATGATCCTTTCACCAGCTTCCCATTTAACAGTCTACTTCCTCCCACTGTGTCTGGTACTGTTTATCTGTCAACCCCAACGTAACACCCCTAGGAAATACCACAGGAAGCTACTTGCTACTTATCTCTGCTCTAGTTCTCATCTTTCTCCTTCTTCCTAGTCTATAGTCATATGATCACATGGAAATTAAAGCTTTACTACCTCCAAGGAGGCCTCCTTGGTTTGAAAGGTTTTTGTCTGCCCTGTCTTTATCTGGCTAACTCTCCATACGCTGTGGGTCGCCACTTAAATATCACTTCTCCTTAGGAAATATTCCCTTGACTAGGATGGATGTCCTGAGATGGGTTCCCTCCATATATCCCTGAAGACTGTTGCCTAATCAACAATCTTCAAAACACTCTACCGATTACTTGGTGAATGTCTTCTCAGCCAGACTGAAAGCCCATGCTGAGCCCCATGAGTGCAGGGACCCAGGCTGTCTGATTCCCCACTGTATCCCCAGTGGATGACCAGTGACCAGTATGTACTTGTTGAATGGATGAATGAGGAGTGATAGAACAAATGCTGAGCTTGAGTGAAATCACTCGTTTCTCTTTAGTTATGACTACTCTACTTGTACAGAGTGGTATGATAAAATGGGTAGACAGCCATACTAGTTTGTAAAACTGTTGTGGGCCAGGTCTCACTAACGCAGGCCTTCATCACAACTGTTTCAGTACTGACTGAGTGGTTCAGTTAAATATTAAAAGCCAGTGACCTTATACAAAGTCTGGAATGTAACAAAAGCTCACCAAGAGTTTTGCCTAGGCCTTTCCTGAACCTTAAAGCATGACTAAATGATTTCACTACTGAAAATATATGAAAGAGTTCTAATTAGTTGGCTCACAGAAAAATAAAAGTGTTTAAATACTTTAACAGAAAAAAGGAAAGACTAGTCAAATGCTTTTTCAAGTTTATGTGACTTAAGTAAAATCTTCTATAAATAAGCTAGCTTTAAACATTATTGGTAAAGTAATATTAGAAATGTCTTCAGAGTTGCCAGCATGTTTTTGCTTGTATTTGTTGATCAAGCAATTTCATACTTATCTTTGCCAAATACTATAATGTGTCAAAATTTGGCATAGAGGCTACAAAACGATAACTCAGTCCAAAACAGAGTGATCTTTGCTTGTGTAATTTCTTTTTCTTTCTTATTTTTTTGACACGGAGTTTCGCTCTTGTCACCCAGGCTGGAGTGCAATGGCACAATCTCAGCTCACTGCAACCTCCGCCTCCTGAGTTCAAGTGATTTTCCTGCCTCAGCCTCCTGAGTAGCTGGGATTACAGGTGTCCGCCACCATGCCCAGCTAATTTTTGTATTTTTGGTGGAGACAGGGCTTCACCATGTTGGCCAGGCTAGTCTTGAACTCCTGACCTCAGATGTTCTGCTCACCTCAGACTCCCAAAGTGCTAGGATTACAGGTGTGAGTCACCGTGCCCGGCTGCTTGCGTAATTTTTAATAAATAAAACATTGATATTGGTTTAATGAAGATAGCTACATCTTGAATTATTTAGTAAAATACCCTAATTTCTGATCTTGTGGCCTTAGGCAGTCTAGTTCACAGACATAAAGGAAGTCTGTTCTGGGAAAGGACGGTTATCATCTTTGTTTCAAAGCTAAACTATAAACTAAGTTAATGAATGAGAATAGCTTAGAGGTTAGAAGCAAGATAGAGTCAGTGACAGCAGATCACTTTCACTGTCTCAGTGGTAATTTTGCAATGGTGGTCTCATAACTTTCAATGATGACTACTGCAGTTTTTATAAATAATCTAGGTAAATGATTAAAATAAATAATTAGATAAATGTAATGGGATAAATACTTGTAAACAAATGTCATAATTTTTAATCTAAAGTAATATTAAATTAAACAACAAATATTTCATTATTTGGGTATTTTCCAATAAAAATAGATTATAGGAAAACATTCTTTCTAAACAGTGTGTCCTTTTTAAAGGGTAACTAATTTTTGTCTAACTCAAAGCTTATTTAAAGGTTATATAAAAAACATGGTAAAAGAAACAAGGAAATAAGAGATATATAAATAAAGTAATAAAAATAAAGAGAATTTAAAAGATTACTGGTAAAATATCTTCAAAACATAAACATTTGGTCTAAATTATGCAGGTCAAATATTAGGTTTGCTAAACGCTTTGTGTCATAAATTCCTTCTTCAATTTAAACATTGTTCGATTTATTGTGGAGCATTAGATTCTAGATAAGGCCTGGAGACATGTGAAATTAGCCATGCCCCCTAGCTATGCAAAAAGGTATTAAAGAAAAGAGATTTTATATAAGAAAGGATCTGTATGGCAAATTCTTGTACTAAAGTAACTGGATGTTAAAAAAGAGGGATGTTTAGGACAAGTCAGAAAGTCAAGGCATGTCATAGCTTGTCTGTGTAAGTCGTGAAAGAATTTATGAAAGGGAATTTATGCAACAAATATCATATCATTTAAAGGTCATTAGGTCTCCTAAATGCTTTATAAAATGCCACTATGACTCCTAGCTGTACAAATTGCCTGTTTTACAGCTAGGTAAGGCCTGGGACACATGGAGTTAGATGCTGGAATAAGTCAGACCTTATCTGCACTTCTGTCTAGGTCTTAGGCTCCACACCTAGTACATAAAATCCCAAACTTATCAAAGTTTTCACCAAAAGTAAAGGCTGCTAAGAGTTAACAGTGTAACATGCATTTAAGACTACTGAAGAAATAGGTTTTTTTGTTTGTTTGCTTTTGTTTTGTTTTTCTTTTTTTGAGATGGAGTTTCGCTCTTTCACCCAGGCTGGAGTGCAATGGTGCGATCTTGGCTCACGGCAACCTCTGCCTTCCGGTTTCAAGCAATTCTCCTGCCTCAGCCTCCTGAGTAACTGGGATTATAGGTGCCCGCCACCATGCCCGGTTAATTTTTGTATTTTTAGTAGAGACGGGGTTTTACCATGTTGGCCAGGCTGGTCTTGAACTCCTGACCTCGTGATCTGCCCACCTTGGCCTCCCAAAGTGCTGGGATTACAGGTGTGAGCCACTGTGCCTGGCCTGAAGAAACAGTTTTACATGGAAAAGTAAAATATGCTCTTGGTAAAAAGCATATTTTTTTTTTTGGTAAAAAGCATATTTACAAGGGAAGTAAAATATGCTTTTGGTAAAAAGATTATAAGGAGGCATGAGAATGTGAATTTTTGCCTAGATTAAAAGGAAACGATTGTTTTAAGTTG